CACAGAGACTAAATTTTCCGCCGGTGGGACCGAAAATCCCTTCCTGCTGCACCCTGGAATTGAAATATCCAAGAAGGTTTTTGGTATCGTGACGGGAGCGGGGCTCTAGAAACTTTAATTTGTGTTTCGAATGGAATTTTTTAAGTTTTCAATGGAGTTTATGGCGTTTCCTTTTCTACCGAAAAATTATGCCTTTCCAGTGCCCTCTATGCACAAATATTAAGTAGAGGGCAATGGAAAAAATGATATAAAAGTTTTAAAAGCGCAATATAAGCAAATGATTCAATATTAAAAAATAATAAACTTCAGGGCTCATATCGTTACAGTCGTGTCTTAGCAACTCGCCATGTAAAAAGGCATATTTCGGATTATAACAGTCGTGAACGTACTGCTCGTCTCGTAATTCGCCAGTAACACCACCTTGTATAAATTCGCCTTGGGCCAACGAAATGTCGTCTCAAGACACGAATAACACGTAATATACACTGACACTTAAAAGTGAGTGCATGGTGTTTTTTGTTTAATATTTGCAATGTTTTTCAGGTTTAATTATTTTTTTTATAAGAATATGTTCATGCTTTAATAAAAACCACATAAGTCAAACTTTCAAACTTTATACAAAACTTAGAAAAATTCAACGAATTTTCGTCAAAATTTTGACCTTTTTAATCTGAATTTTAAGAACAATTTTGAGTACGCAGATATATCGGTTTTTTAATTCTAGTGAAACTAGTGCAAGTTTTAAGCGGCTAAAAAATCACGATAATTTTTAGTGAATTTTTTTCTGAGATTTCGCGGTTTTATGCATATAACAAGTGCAATTAGGAAAAATACAGCGTTAATTGTGTTCGTAAACGGTCATGCGCATTTTATTCTACAAGAATTTTCTTTTTATTTGTTAAAAACTGTAAAAAAGCCGTCAGCAATAAAAAATCATTAAAAATCTACGCGATTTTTAGCCGCTTAAAACTTGCTCTTGTTTTACTAGAATTAAAAATCCGATATATCTGTGTACTCAAAATTTTTCTAAAAGTTCAGATTAAAAAGGTCAAAATTTTGACGAAAATTCGTTAAATTTTTTTAGGTTCTGTATAAAATTTGACTATGTGGTTTTGATTACGGCATGAACCACATTTTTATAAATAACAAAAAAATGTTAACTTGAAAAACAGCAAATATTAAACAAAAAAAAAATAAACATGCACTCACTTTCGATTGCCAGAGTAGATTTAAAACTGAGCAAGGATTGTCNAAGTGAATCTAGTGCAAGTTTTAAGCGGCTAAAAAATCACGATAATTTTTAGTGAATTTTTTTCAGATATTTCGCGGTTTTATGCATATAACAAGTGCATTTAGGAAAAATACAGCGTTAATTGTGTTCGTAAACGGTCATGCGCATTTTATTCTACAAGAAATTTCTTTTTATTTGTTAAAAACTGTAAAAAAGCCGTCAGCAATAAAAAATCATTAAAAATCTACGCGATTTTTTAGCCGCTTAAAACTTGCTCTTGTTTTACTAGAATTAAAAATCCGATATATCTGCGTACTCGAAATTTTTCTAAAAATTCAGATTAAAAAGGTCAAAATTTTGACGAAAATTCGTAAAATTTTTTTAGGTTCTGTATAAAATTTGACTATGTGATTTTGATTACGGCATGAACCACATTTTTATAAATAACAAACAAATTTTAACTTGAAAAACAGCAAATATTAAACAAAAAAAAATAAACACGCACTCACTTTCGATTGCCAGAGTAGATTTAAAACTGAGCAAGGATTGTCACTACATTATGCCCCAAAAACTCTTTGAGGAAGTTACATATATACTGTTACACCCGCAAACATAGTTGACCGCAACTATGTTAAGTCTTTCTTCGCTGAAGTTTTTTTATGCGTCTTTTTTCGCGGTCAACTTTTACACAACTGTTACGATTCCAACCCAGATCAGGGAAGCCAACTCGTGGGGAATTCCCCGATTTGCAGTTTACGTGGGGAATCGGGGAATAGACCGTTTTTTGTGGGTAATTTCCACTCGTTCAATTCTAGTATAATAAAGTTTCAAATGGCAAAAAATTACGGCTGATTTTTTAGAACTTTCTTTGTCGCATTTGCTTTCATATAGCGATTAAACATTTTTTATTTTTATATGGAAGAAACCGCAAAAATTTCAAAAACAGATCTAAAACGAAAAATTTTACACTTGAAACTTGACTTTATTATAATAGAATTGAGTGGCTACAAAACTGCATACTCAAAATCTTTTCTTTTTAATATTGCACAAAGTTTGAAACATGGATTTATATGCTATTTGTTAGAGAATGAACTATATACTCAAATTAAATAACATAAAAAAAATTGGTGCGACTAAAATTTTTTCGACCACTGTATGTACGTAAAAATTATATAAACATTTTTTATTCTTTATTTGTTAACTAACTTTATAATAGTTTGGTTTGGCTTATGAATACATAGATGAATTACATCTAAAAATGAAATAAACAGCAAGACCAGCAATATATCAAAATACATCGATTTTTTTTTGTAAATAAGGAGATACTAAGGAGGAATTTCATTGTCGAAATCGGGGAATTCTCAAAAATGAGTTGGATTCCCTGGCCCAGATAAGTCTCCACATTAAAGTTTATACGATGTAGATGTAAAAACGATTTAGGTTATTCTTATACTTCTATATATTTAAGTTATATTTTACAATGCCAGAACTTCAGCCCTATTATTTTAACGTTCGCAACACACTCAAAAGTTGTCGAAAACAATTTCCCTAAGCAAGAGTAGCGTAGCATTAATCTTTATATGCGTCTATCAAATGTCTTTCAGTACCTTAAATCAAAGGACGTTGCACTGCCTGAAATCGGTTTAAAGTATATTTCACCGAAATTAATCCATTGGCGAAATTTAATTTCGACAACAAATTATGATCATATAGTCATTTGGGACTACTATCGAAGTACTGGTAAAAAATTCAATCGAAGTAATACTCTTCTTGATTCATATCGACAGTCATTTTATAAAAAGTGTTGGTACCATGACAAATGGATATGGTATACGCCAAATATTTTAACTAAAGTTATGAGATGCATAACGAACGAGCAAAGCACGCCGCCAGAAAATAGTGAAAGTTCTATTTTTGAAAGATCATTTAGGTTGCCCGCCATAGAGCAGGTACAGGAAACCAGCACAACTAATGTGACTACCGAAGTTGTAAGCAGAGGTGATGAACTAGCTGTGGATTCGGATTGCAAGATGCCTAGAACTGTTGGGAACTAACTCACTGTGAAAAATGTTTATTTAATATTGCCTGATTATAAAAAGGCAATAATATGACCATCGAAAAAGAAAATAAAATTAAAAATGACAACGTCTTGATTATAAAATGGCAATAAGATGAACATCGAAAAAGAAAATAAACCAAAAAATGGCGGCGTCTTGCGCTTATTTGCAAATAGTACCACTAATCAATACTTATTAGCGTGATTTAGTTATTTGCAAATAAAAAATTAACTCAGCGTTTATACGGCAAAGTTTACCATTTTGCAAATTTTTATTTGCAAATAAGACGTGCGTATAAACATAGTATCTGTTACGTTATGTTATGCTCTCCTATATTATGTAATTTTATTACCTTTAGTTTTTTTTCACAGAGACTTCTTGGAGAATATTTAAATTTCGGATTGCAAGCAACTACTCGCAACGAGCCAGTTAACCTTGAAAATCGTAAGTTTCAAATTCATATTTGTCACGTACGCAAAGCAGAACGAGAGAAAGAACGAGAAGTCGTGTTTGAGTAGCCGAACTGTGCGGTCGACTAGCAGCAAATGAAATCGATTAAAGTCTTTTTACTTTTCCATTATATTTTAAATTGAACTTTTAATAAATAATATTNAGCTTCATCTGCCTCCGGAGACACGCACTACACTCGCACAACTTCGCTCCGGCTACTGCAGCGGGTTAAACTCCTACTTGAGTAGGTTGAATGAGGATGTGCCGAACGAATGTCCGGCATGCGGAGAGACCCCACATGACTCGAACCATCTCTTCGCATGTCCGGAAAACCCGACAACCCTAACGGCCTTGTCCCTGTGGACAAATCCCACAGAAGCTGCACGCTTCCTAGGGTTGCCGTTAGTGGAACTTGACGACAACGACTGAGATACCAACCGATCTGGGCGGGGTTGTTGTAGCCGCTACAACAACAACAACAACCGCAACTATGTTAAGTCTTTCTTCGCTGAAGTTTTTTTATGCGTCTTTTTTCGCGGTCAACTTTTACACAACTGTTACGATTCGAACCCAGATCAGAGAAGCCAACTCGTGGGGAATTCCCCGATTTGCGGAGAATTTCAGTTTACGTGGGGAATCGGGGAATAGACCGTTTTTTGTGGGTAATTTCCACTCGTTCAATTCTAGTATAATAAAGTTTCAAATGGCAAAAAATTACGGCTGATTTTTTAGAACTTTCTTTGTCGCATTTGTTTTCATATAGCGAATAAACATTTTTTATTTTTATATGGAAGAAACCGCAAAAATTTCAAAAAAAGATCTAAAACGAAAAATTTTACACTTGAAACTTGACTTTATTATAATAGAATTGAGTGGCTACAAAACTGCATACTAAAAATCTTTTCTTTTTAATATTGCACAAAGTTTGAAGCATGGATTTATATGCTATTTGTTACTATACTCAAATTAAATAACCGAAAAAAAATTGGTGCGACTAAAATTTTTTCGACCACAGTATGTACGTAAAAATTACATAAACATTTTTTATTCTTTATTTGTTAACTAACTTTATAATAGTTTGGTTTGGCTTATGAATACATAGAAGAATTACATCTAAAAATGAAATAAACAGCAAGACCAGCAATATATCAAAATACATCGATTTTTTTTTGTAAATAAGGAGATACTAAAGAGGAATTTCATTGTCGAAGTCGGGTGCTTCCCTGGCCCAGATAAATTTCCACGTAAAAGTTTATATGATGTAGATGTAAAAACGATTTATAAATCCCAATAGCTAAATCTCGCAATGGAAGCATAGTGTGAGTTTTACATACTTTTGTTAAATTTTAGTAGTTAAGCATGTTTTAGGTTATTCTTATACTTCTATATTTTTAAGTTATATTTTACAATGCCAGAACATCAGCCCTATTATTTTAACGTTCTTAGTCATATCCGAGCATTTGGTTGTAATCGGCAGGTGTTCTAAAATACCGACTTAATAGTAAAGAAGTCCGGGTGCCCAACCTATAAGTACAGCTGTTCCATGGATTAAATTTGCTATACATTTCTTCCACTTCGCCTTTGCAAAACGTATGTTTAGACGGTCGAAACGGTATCTGAGAGTCATATATAGCAACATATCTAAATGTGCTTAAAATTAGTAACCTTGGCTCAATTTTATATAAACATGTGTCTTACTTTTCATTTGTCCGATAAATTCGAAGAGGATATCTAGCAATAAAAACTCTTATAATGACTGTTATCATAACAAAACCCACACAAAATATCCATAAGTCGTTGAAGTCTGACACTAGACCCATGGATTCAAAACTCTGAGTTGGAAGCTTATATTGGTTAGTTGCAGCATAGGCTGTAGTAGAAGAAATGATTATCGCTGTAGTAGTGGAGATGTTTTTTGCAAGTGAGATATATGATTCCATTGGCGCCCGATAGATAAGTTCGTAATTTAATGGAATTTCATCTCTTTTCATCAAAGATGTCCGTTTCGGCAAGGTCAATTTAGTATTTTGTTTGAGTTTTGTCGAGTAATACCGTGTGAAACTACGAATATGAAAATATATGAAATTGCGCTCATGTAAGGAATATGACTTACCAAACGGCATCTTTTAGAACAGCAATACATCTTGAATATTTGCTGTGGGATGAAAGAATATACATCTTTCTACAAAAGGCAATTGCAAAAAATATTAGCTTACAGTGTTATGTAGTAGAGCCGAGATACTGTGTTTGTTGTTGTTGTAGTGGCCGAGATACTGTCGCTACTAGAGGTGTCCAACTATCGATGGTACTATCGATAGTATCTGTGGCGCCTGTCACACGATCAATATGGAACGTTAACCAGATTCTGATATTGTACTAGGTTCACATATAAGTAGATTCCCTGCCAGCCACGGCTCACCACTTTCTCCTGAAAATCAAACGATTTACCAACACGTACCCAACTTTTTTGTCATCTCACCCACACACTCAAAAATTGTCGAAAACAATTTCCCTAAGTAAGAGTAGCGTAGCTGGGTACTCTCTATGAATTTGTACAACGATTTTGGGTTGCTGTGCCCAAACGCGTGAATCGAATTAAAAACCTTTTACACACACTTGTAGACAACAGTTCACTATTAAAGCGTTGCTATGAGTACACAATAAAATCACCTCATGTGTGGCCCATTAATCTTTATATGCGTCTATCAAATGTCTTTCAGTACCTTAAATCAAAGGACGTTGCACTGCCTGAAATCGGTTTAAAGTATATTTCACCGAAATTAATCCATTGGCGAAATTTAATTTCGACAACAAATTATGATCATATAGTCATTTGGGACTACTATCGAAGTACTGGTAAAAAATTCAATCGAAGTAATACTCTTCTTGATTCATATCGACAGTCATTTTATAAAAAGTGTTGGTACTATGACAAATGGATATGGTATACGCCAAATATTTTAACTAAAGTAATGAGATGCATAACGAACGAGCAAAGCACGCCGCCAGAAAATAATGAAAGTTCTATTTTTGAAAGATCATTTGGGTTGCCCGCCATAGAGCAGGTACAGGAAACCAGCACAACTAATGTGACTACCGAAGTTGTAAGCAGAGGTGATGAACTAGCTGTGGATTCGGATTGCAAGATGCCTAGAACTGTTGGGAACTAACTCACTGTGAAAAATGTTTATTTAATATTGCCTGATTATAAAAAGGCAATAATATGACCATCGAAAAAGAAAATAAAATTAAAAATGACAACGTCTTGATTATAAAATGGCAATAAGATGAACATCGAAAAAGAAAATAAACCTAAAAATGGCGGCGTCTTGCGCTTATTTGCAAATAGTACCACTAATCAATACTTATTAGCGTGATTTAGTTATTTGCAAATAAAAAATTAACTCAGCGTTTATACGGCAAAGTTTACCATTTTGCAAATTTTTATTTGCAAATAAGACGTGCGTATAAACATAGTATCTGTTACGTTATGTTATGCTCTCCTATATTATGTAATTTTTTTACCTTTAGTTTTTTTTCACAGAGACTTCTTGGAGAATATTTAAATTTCGGATTGCAAGCAACTACTCGCAACGAGCCAGTAAACCTTGAAAATCGTAAGTTTCAAATTCATATTTGTCACGTACGCAAAGCAGAACGAGAGAAAGAACGAGAAGTCGTGTTTGAGTAGCCGAACTGTGCGGTCGACTAGCAGCAAATGAAATCGATTAAAGTCTTTTTACTTTTCCATTATATTTTAAATTGAACTTTTAATAAATAATATTAGTGTTAATACTAAAATTAGACCACTCGAGTTATTCTTCTGACAGTTTCAGAAGCGGGTATCGAAAATACGCTTTAAAAACAGAGTTGTAAGTAAATTAAACACGACGATTTACTTATACGCATACGACACTCAACGAATAAAGTAGGAAAGGAGCAACTGCTGTGCACGTAATAGCACATACATACATACACGCTCACAACGCCAACGGCGCATATGCATACGACACTCAACGAATAGAGTGGAAAGGAGCAACGGCTGTGCACGTAATAGCACACACAAGCTCACAACACCAACGGCGCATACGCATACGCATACGACTCAACGAAGGAGTGTAAAGGAAAACAACGACGAACGACTGTGAAACGTAAAAGCATATACGAGGGAACGACGCTCAGCAAACAGAGCAACGGCAGTGCAACGGATAGGGGAAAAAACGAACAATTCGGGGAATGGAAGTTGGACGGCAAAAAGTAGAACGCAAATTATAAAATAATCTACGGTGCCGGGGAAATTAAATAAAATGATGAAATTATCGAATTTAACCGTGGCGCAACCAAACGTTTTTTTGCGAAATAACGAATTAGCAATGAATGTGCGGACATGTAACGACTTAAGGCAATCAATCGAGAGTCTGCGTGCAACAACTCAAGCGAGTGGACAACGCTTTGCTCAAAATGTAACTTCATCGGACGTCAGCCCCGTTTCGGCTGAAGACAAAGTTAAGCGAGGGCCAAATGCCCTCAGCCGCAAAAGAAGCTGCGGTGCAGCAAGTGTTCCAAGGTAGGACATGATGCAAAGAAGTGTACAGAAGCAGATCCAAAGCATGCGGTCGCTAAGATTGAATGCAACGTAAGTACGCAGCAGAAGAGTCCACCCATCGTTGAAGAAATTGAATGTGAAGGCGTAAAATATCAAGCGTTGGTGGACACGGGTAGCGATCATTCGCTCATACGAACTACAGCAGCAATAAATAGCGAACATAAGACGCCAACGTTCCAACGGCTACAAGGGTTTGGTGGCTCTATAGTTGAGGTCATCGACACGGCTATAAAGTTGAAGGATGAGGTTATTAAGGCCAAGCTATACGAGGTACCGGACAGCATGTTGAATTGCGATCTCTTGATTGGAAGAGATGTGCTGTGTGGTCACGATCGACGATTGATCATTGACGCAGGGTCAATGATGTTGCAGATCAAGAACGCGAAACAGTTCAACGTTAACGAAGGTCTTCAAGATGACGGAAAGCAAAACGTGTTTAAGCTGCTGACAGACTATGACGATTGGTTTTCGGAAGGTATATCCACGCTAGGCCGATCGAAGACAACGACAATGATTTTTGAAGTTACTGCTCCAAGTCCAATAGTGGGTAGACGATACCAGGTGCCATTCGCAAAGCAGGAAGAGCTGTCATCGATTTTGAAGGAGCTGCTGACCAACGAGGTAATTTTATTTTATTTATTACAGTCATTTGACCTATATACATTCACGTATATACGTTTGAATTATGTATTGCATAATATAATAAAGGTAAAGTTAAAATTAATGCTTAAAATATGTTACACTTTTCCTTCTAAGCTATATAATAGTTTATGTATATTTAACTAAGATAGCATATTCTCAATGCTGTTGGAATGGACATGATTCCAAGCAGTACCGTAAATATATCATGTACGATATGCGGTCTAAGTGTGTAATTTCCAGAGCCGCCACAACTAAGCGGTTGGAAAGGACTAGTTTCCAAGCCGCCTCTTATAAACTTCTCTACCGGCAGGCGATCTGAATGGACGAAATCCAGAGTCGCGCTATTTGATCGGACGGAAAGGACTAGTTTCCATGCCGATCTTCTTATTTCATACATTATGGGTGATCTGAATGGACTAGATCCAGAGTCATTCAGCTAGTACGGATGGAAAGGACTAGTTTCCATGCCGCACCTTTCGATCTGATAGCCAATGTTCTACAGTAATCAAGTAGCAGCCTTTTGAAGGTACCAACGTTTTCACAATTTTTTACTTGAGCTGGAAGTTCATTGTAACATTTTAATCCCTTATAAAAGATGTTCTTCTTATCTATTTCCGTTTTGAACAGCGGCAGCCTGAAGCTATTATTCCACCTGAGTAAATACGAATGGGTTTCACTATTATATCGTAGGATATCACTCAGATAATCTGAAAGTCTACCTTGTTTTGTGTTAAACACGAATTTCATAGCGTGATAGAAAATTTGCTGTTTCACGCTCAGCCAGTTTAATTCTGCGATCCTTTCCTGTATGAGTGTGTCGTACCGCTTGTTCAAGATAAATCGCATAGCCCTATTTTGCATTTTTTGAAGCTTATCTATTTGTGTGTCGCTTGCTATAAAAAAGATTGTAGGACAGTACATGAATTGTGGTTCAACTATAGATCTGTAGACCAGAGTCTTATACCTCCTTCCTAAGTACTTACATGATCTTTTCATGAGACCAATTTTTTTACCAATTTTTGCTACTATGTAGTCAATATGTTCCTCATATTTTAACTTATCATCGATATATATACCTAGATATTTAATGATTCTCACTTTCTCAATTACTTTATCTTTAATTTTTAAACTGTAATTATCGCAGCTAACGTTAGCTGCTCTAGGTATGACCATAAACTTTGTCTTGTTCACATTTAATTGCAGTATGTTTACGCACAACCATTTATAAAAACAATGAAGGTCTTCTTGCATTTTAATCATTGCATTGGGTAGATTACAGTCACTGAGGGTTAAGAGGGTATCGTCGGCGAACAATTTTACCTTACAATACTTCAAAACCGAGTTTATGTCGTTGATATAAATATTAAAGAGAATTGGAGCTAACACCGACCCTTGTGGTAGACAATATCTACTGCTACCTTAGTGGATAGAGCTGTGCCAATCACCGTTTGTTGCTTCCTATCAGAAAGAAAGCTACGGAACCATGTAAGTTCGATGTTATCTATACCAATATATTCGAGTTTTTTTAGCATTATTTCCCTGTCGATTGTGTCGAAGGCTCTCTTAAGGTCCACAAACTCCGCCAAGATAGTTTTCTTGGAATTCAGGTCCTCCTTCCATTGTGATACGATCAAGTTTAGAGCTGTTTCGCATGAGTGATTAGCCCTAAAACCTGACTGCTCCTTAATGAGTATTTTATTTGACTCAATATAGTTTAATAGTTGATTTTTTACAACCGTTTCCAGTATTTTTTCTATGTTGGGAAGGGTGTTTATTGGCCTGAGCTCCTCCGATTTTATGGTGTTTATGACCTTTTTTATTGGGACAATGGTCGAAGTTTTCCATTCTGTCGGAACTACTCCCAACTGAAGGCACTTATTTACTAATAGGGCGTAAAAAAGACCCATGTATTCAACGGAGTCTTTAATTACACCCTCGGATAATAAATTATTTCCACAAATTTTTATCTTGAACTTCTTTACTATATGGATAATATCGTCTGTACTAATCTCACAAAATTTAAAGGTCCCTCGA